AATTTCAAGGGAGAACCGACCTTTTTTCCCATATCGCATTCTGTGGTGGGGTTGTCGATGAAGCAAAGTTATATTTGATATCTCAATCGACAATCATGCGTATAGTTTGTTTATAAATAGATTATATATTGTATTGTGAGGCTGTTTTGTGTCATAGTGGAGAGGTTAGCTGTCAATCTCTTATTTAGAGCAAATATAATTATTATTCATATGAAATGGTAGTGAATATTATAGCATAGACACGCAGAACAAGATGGTGTGACTTTAGGTTCGGTCGCCAGAGTGCCGTCCAGGAATGTACCAAATGAATGAGTCGATGCTAAAGAGTAGCATGAATACGACGCTTTGGGACTCGGGAACGGCTACTGTCCACATGGTCTCCGTGTCTGCCCGACCAGTTTTCATACAAGGCCGAATCAGATGAATTGGAGGTGGTGCAAAACTTTGGCACACTGTGCTCGGAGACTGTGCAAAAGCTATGACGCATCGAGTGAAATTGTCCCTTTTCACGTGTCATCCCAGCGCAAAGTTCACTCTCTTTCCGACTGGTACACTTTACGGCCACACTTTTTTCCCGTTGCCGAGGCAGCCGGCTCCCGCGATAACAGCCTTGGTTGGCCGGTATGCTTGTCGACGTTTGCACGAAGCATGAGAGTCTGACGATAAGAAAACAAGGCCCAGAGGCTATCCGCACGTTGTGAGCGGTAGGCCTGACAACAGAACCTGACACTCGTCGTCCTGACGATGTGACCCCAAGAGTTGGCACACATTTTCACAACGCCGAGGCGAAGGCGTCGAATTTTACGGTGCCAACATCATTTCTTTATCAAAAGAAACATTTCATCTGCTTGTCCGCTATTGCAATGACCTTCTCAGTCGGATTAGACGAACCGGAAGACATTATTGGTACACGACAAGGTCCGCATCAGGACCGGGGATCACTTGGGCCGGCGTGGGGGTGGACGGGTGGAGCGAGACTGAGCGACTTGGTCGCTGACCGGCCGTATCTGCGGCACGACGTGGGAGACTTGAGCCACTTGGGAGAGTTGAGCGAAAGAAAAAAAACGCTTCTGGAGCGGAGCGTGATTTATTATCAAGACTTGCACAGGCCAGTGGCATCGTGTCTGGGAGGGCGATCGTAAAATGGTATCGGCTAAAGAGAGAGTGATTGACGGCCCACTGGCTACGAGAAGTGTTCGTTTGGTGTCGAGGTTGCAGTGAACGGTGAAGCAGAAGAAGAGGAAGCTGAGGTCAGTGATGCGCTTGACTTTTGCTGCTCCACAGGAGGGCGAAGCGAACGACGGAATTGTGCAGGCAATGAAAGGATGAAATGATTTTCACAAACACGAACTCGCCAAAGACATTCAGACAAAGTAGGTATTCGAGAATAACAGTCGATGTTAAACAGGAACCCCAGTCACCCAAGACCACATAAGCTGATAAAGGTTCGCACAATTATATGCTTAGGTCGACTCATATGATTGTGGAAAAATTTCAACCGCCAAGAATGTATAGAACTATTATTGTATCATATCATTATTATATATTATTATATTATATTATTATTGTATCATAGTCACGAAGACCTATTTTAGCTAAATCCAAGTGACGTCGTCGAAGGTAATGGCAAAATTCAAGTTTGCCTCACCGGATTATGGAAGTGTACTGGCCCTCATTGAAATTCACTGTACTACTCGGATTCGAGTCCCGTTGGGAGTGTGCAGAGACGAATTGAAGCAAAGTCGAAA